CCAACAAAAGAATCAACATATTACACTAAAAATATGTATCTAGCACAAAAGAGGCAGCTAAAGAGGAGCAGAGTAACAAAAAAGACAGGAGGCATAGGCAAACATTTAATAAAAGGATGGCTAGGTGTTAAAGCAGCAAAATGAATGGTGTGGAGAGGACAATGTCTCAAGTAATGTGAAAAGTTCAGAGATGAAAGAACTTGTTCCTTTTGGCAACCAAAAGCAGCAGGACCTTCTCCATGGGCCTTCGTGTGCGTTCGGATGAACCAGGATTTGATTCTTTAAAATAGATCTAAACAAAGGGTATGCAAAACATAGTTGCTTTATGGAGGTAGTCAAACTTGATATTGACTGGATAATGGATGAAGAGAGAAGGGGACAGATGGTTTTCTTATTTTCATTGCTGTTCTTATTATTTATTCAATAAAATCAATAAAATCACTGACCATATAGTTCTCAAAATGGTCTCCATCAGAGTGCACATTCACTAAACTCAAAGATTATTTCTTTATTAGGGATAATGGACTTATCAAAAGCATCACTGATCAAAATTTCTCTCAGCACTGTCCTCATGCTCAGGCTGAAAGCAAGAACAGTAGTAGTTTGCTCTGATGGTTCAGGATAACATAGAAACCAGTAATTTTTATGGCATCTTGGGTGAGCTGATGTCATTGTTTAAGAAATATTGCCTCTGTGACAATGATAGAGGACATATTCTTTCCAAAACAGGCTTCTTTCATTTCTCTTACTTTTGTCAGAATGATAGAAGATAGTTTTTCTGTATCAACAATGTTAATCTGCCTCTTATATTAAATGCAAACTACTGACCTGCCCATGTCATTTAATATTATACCACTGACATGAAGACAAATGTATTGATGATATTTAGCATAAAGAGTGGGTGCTGATTTACTGAAATTGGAGTCTCTGCAGCCTTGCTAATATTCTGGGTAGAAGAAAGTGGTGTGACTTTTAGTGGCCCACGTTTTTCTGGACATGGGCAGTTACTTGCGCTTTCCTCTCCTTGATGACACTGCAGAATAGGTTGTGTCAATATCACTGCCAGCCACATGGAGATCCTTTTCACATGGCTACTCTGAATGTAGCAGGAGAAGAGTCCTGGTCACTACAGACTGCTGAAATAGTTGGTAAGGGTGTCCCCCAAAAGGTTGAAACCATTATTTCTCCACAGCATTTTCTATTGTTATCCACTTCATCCTTGAAATTATTTCTTCTCTTGATTTTCATATATTATTTGATTCTATCTCTGAACATTCCTTTTCAAATTTCTCTTACTGACTGATCCTTCCATCTTGATTTTTTCAAGGTTTGTGCCCTAAAATCACTTTCATTCTCATTATATTCATTTCACCCCAGGAATTGGAGTCATTCTCATCAACACATTGTGAGCTGTTGACTTTCAAATCAATGCCTTCAACTCCAGAATTCTTCCCCTGAATTTCAGACTCATCTAACTACTTGATGTCCTAGAGGAACTTCATATTCAAATGTTCAACTATGAACTCACCCTTTGTAAATCTCTAACTTCTTCTGCTTAATAGTTCCATCAATATCCAAGCCAAAACCTAAGATTCATTCCGAATTCTTTAAATTTCACGTTCTATCAGTAACAAAGTCCCACTGATTCCTGCTACCTACATCTCTTATGTATACCTCTCCACCTACCTTCCTATTTACTACTGCTTTCATCCAGGCCCTCATCATATGTGTTATTACAGTAGTTTTGCAGGTCGGTTGGCTCTGTACCTTGCCTTGGTTTTAATCCATTCTCTGTGTTACTGGCAGAGAGAACTTGTGGATGTTTACTCTTCAGCCTAAAAAGTTTGATTGGTTTCCTGAGATTTATAAGACAATAAATTCCAAATCCCTAGAGTAATATATTAATTCAAGGGCCTCCAGACCCAGACCATTACC